TACTTTCCATAATACCACTCTTTTCTGTATCGTTTGATTTTTACGCCTCGAATATTTTCTAAAAGCTTTATCTTTTATAAAGCCTGCCAACTGCAAATTTCCCTTATTTATATCTAAGATAAATTGTTCACGCTCCTGTGCTGATAGTAATGAGACAATTTCGAATTCTTCATTTTTCTAACTTCTCATCCATAATCACATATCTTGCGGTATATGAACAAAAGCATTTTATCCGAGTAATTCATCATGTGACGTGAAAACGTTTTTTCATTGGTTACCCAGCCATGACGTAGTAAATGATATATTCTTGACAGAGAGGCATGGGAGGTAATATTGATGTAGACTGAAATTACAGACTAAGAAAAAAGGAATATTTAATTTTTTACTTTAATGAGACAGACGACGAATTTCGCTTTTTTAAGTAATTAGATTTTTGGACGCTAATTCGCTGAATTTGATGAAAATGGAGCTCAAATATAAGAATGTACAGTAAAAAATGGCGATGACATTTTTTTTAAACAATATTTGTCTTCGAAATTTTTCAAATAGTTTTTGAGATATTTGTAATCTTTCTAATAGGTAATTTTAATTAAGCTGAAAATAAAATGCTCAGAAATTATTTTTATTTCTACTGTTTAGTGAAATCATTCCTTTTTAGTTTTAAATTATGGATTATTTGGCTCTTAATGAACGAGTAAAAGGATTAAGGAGATTTATACGCCAAATAAAAAAAAATCGTTTTGTTTAAATGCTATACACTGTATAGCATTTAATAATATAGCACTGTATATTATACAGTACAAATTTAACACAACTCAGAAAGTGCTATACTTTTTAATGAAGATTTTCTTTTCTCACTTTTTGTACGTAATATGGTATAACACATGGTTATTCTTTAGATAAAAGAAAATCTCATCAAATAGCTTTTGATTTAATGATCACATTTTAAGCTACAGATAGGTTAGTGGTTAGTAGGTGTACAAATTTATTTGCATTTCTTAAAAAAAATGCAATTTTTATTGAGAAGATCTGACTAAGATTTAGACTGATCCTTTCGCTAAACACTGTAAATAATTTAGAATCAAATTGCATTAAGTACTGGTACTTTAAAATCCATTACATCATCTGTAAAATTCATTTTTACTGTAAATATGCCGCAATTTTTGAAGTACTATTTATTTAATTTGAGTAATTCAGTGATTTTACTGTAATTGTAACTGTAAAAATGACGGTATATCAGATTTTTTGTTCAGTAACAGGTTCCGATAAAATTGAATTTTATGGTTACAGTCATTTTCATCGTAATTTAATCCGGAAGTTTTTCGCAGTGAACAATTGGAAATATGTTTTCGAAATCTTCCGCATCCCATAGGAATTAAGGTTATGGATGGAAATGGATTTTATGGTTTCGGACACGGCTTTTAACCGTACTTTGACCTGGAATTTTTTTTACAGTGAACAATTGGAAATATGCTTTCGATATCATCAGTATCCCATAGTTGTGAGATCCAAAAGTCAAATGTGTCAAAATTTTTTTTTTGGAAAAATGTTAGTTTTTGTGTCTGTAATCTTATACTTAGGTATAAACATTTAATTAGCGTATTTCAATCGTAACTTTCTAACAACTGAGATTGCTTTTTAGTCCTGGCCATTATATAAGTTAGAGTGATTTTCAACTTTCAATTCTTTTGGGACGTTGAATTTAAAAATGCATTCCCAAAATTCGACAAATCATTGTAGTTTGAAAGATGGACAAGGAAAGTAAAGAAAGAGGAAAATTTCATTTTAAAAGTTTTAATATTTCCTCTTTAATCTACAGATTGGATTATCACGAATAGGACTTAATAGTCATTGTTCATTGTTCAAGGGCCTAACCTTAAGCATGATAATTAATTAGTGCAGAGGAAGATACTTTAAGTTTCGAAATTGAACACAAAAATTTTCTGTCTCTGAATAATCATACCTTTTGGTATCGACGGATTTGACTCTCAAAATCCTCTTTTCTAGCCGTAATACGGAAAATACGGTCCCAATCACTTTTTTCGTATTTCGCTCCATCTCCGCTTGGAACTAATGAAACTTTTTTTACAACTACACTGTAAAAAAATTTCTGATCAAATTACGGTAAAAAGTACTGGCACTTTGATTGCTGGAACTTTTCATCACTAAATATATTTTTACAGTAAAATCCACTTTTACAGTAAAATTCACTTTTATAGTAAAATCTATTTTTACCATAACAAAAAATCTGAAATGTCGTTATTTTTACTGAAATATTTACTGTAAAATTGCAGAATCACTATATTTAAATAGATATCAGCTTTTTTGTTCAGTAAAATTTTGTTGTAAAAATGGATTTTACGATAAAAAGTACTGCCTCCTAAAGCACCATTTTTTACCGTAATCTGATCAGAAATTTTTACAGTGTATGTGGACATATTGGAAACTACACAAAATAGCCAAATTTCTATTACTACGGAAACGTTTCCTGTTGCAGGCAGCTGTATTTTTACTAGTAACTCTCATAAGAAATTTGCGCTAATTATGCAATTTTATCAATAATATGAATCAAAATACAATTACAAAAATATTGTACAATGTAGCTTAGAACATGTAAAACTAAAATAGTTTTATTAATTTCCCTACCTTCCACGATTCACATCGTACATTAACTTTTTTTTTACTGATTCGTTGATGATAAAATCCATTAAAAATACAAAGAGATAGACGGAATTCTTCCACTTTGGCAAATCTAATTTTCTGTCTAAAAGGATTTACTCTTGTTGTACTTGATAAGAGTGCTCAACTCTTCTAATGATTCTCTTTTTCGATATTAAATCACATCACGTGCAGTTAGGATACTTTCTTTTCGAACGGAAGAAAAATAAACTGTCTATTTCTGTGTTTTCGCTCCTTTTTTTTCGAACTCAGTAATCAATATATTTGTGCGGCATGAATGAGTTTAATGAAAAATACTTTAAAGATAAAATTCATTAATCTTTTCGAACTTCGACTACGAAGAGTTAAAAACAAGCAAAAAAGTGGAAACATTCTTCTTTATTTCCTTTTAAAATAAAGATTAATGTAGGAAATTGTGGTTAAAGTTTTTCAATTTTTAAGAAAAAATTTGGATTTGAATCGTATTACTTTTAAAATTGCTTTTCCTTTATTGAAAGAAAAGTTTTTTAGGTAATGTTTTATCATGTTTTAAGAGCTTTGCGTACCTTGAATGCATATTATTTTCTTAGTGAATGCATATTAAAAAGGCACACCATGATGATTCTTTAAATCGACTATTTCCTCTGTTTCTCTAAGTCTTTATTGATTTCTTTAGAAATGGATTTTTAAATTCACATTATAAAAATTTTACAGAATACGTAAATTGTAAATTAAAGTGCTTAGGGGAAAAAAGCTTTAAATGACATTTTCGAAATTTTGATGGAATAAGTAAATTATAAGTTGAAGCCTTTTGTGGAAAAAGGCTTTAAGTGACATTTTAGTGAACTTGAGACAGTAGATTTACTCAAAGACAGCTGTTTTACTGTGATTCACAAAAAGAAGTTTAAGTTAATTAATTATTAACATTATTAATTAACATTGACATATTAAATATTAATTAAATATTAACATGATAATTTTTTTACACAAAAAAAACGTCAACAAATGATTTGACACTAAGAATTTTGTCCACTAAGGTCAGCTAAATTTAAAAACTTGAAAAATCAATTCAAATTTTTTAGTTAAATTAAAATTTAATAAGGTTTTTCTGACAGAAATATCATTTTTTCCCAATAATCATGTTGAAAATTTTTAAAATTACTAAACCTAATTATGTAAGTTGAATAGAATACGGCATATTGAAAACAAAAAGCTAGGTTTAGATAATTATAGCTTTATTTTACATTATTAAGCACAGTTTTTCGAATTATACTGCGATTAATAAATGTCAGTACATGGTTATGCGTTACTAGTTACTTATCTCATATAAAGTCATAAAATTTCACGATAACAATTGTTACACAAAACTCTAATACTCTTTGTGAGTTTTATAGTTTATTGAAAATAGGTGAATTTGTCTGCAAATTTCTGAAAATTTTGATAAGAACACAGAAGTGCACTGTAAGAAATTCCGGATCAAATTACGGTATAAAATACCGACACTTTTGATACATCATCCAATAAAAATCAATATTTTTATCGTAATTTTTGCAGCAATTATTTAATTAGAGTGATTCAGTGATTTTACGATAATTATTAGTGTAAAATTACGGTATATCAGATATTTTGTATGGTAACATGTTCCTATAAAAATAGATTTTACAGCAAAAAGTAACATCACCTTGAGTGCTGGTACTTTTTACCGTAATTTGATCCGGAATTTCTTACAGTGTATAAAACAATGAAAATTCATGAAAACACATGATACATAAAACCCTTATACTCTTGGTGGTGTTCCAAAATATATTGAAAACAGTAGAATCTGTCTGGAAATACTTTTACCCCCCAACGATCAGTTAATTTTCACGAAAACTGTCATAAAAGTGCCAATTTTTTTATTAGTGCTCTTTGATTAGTGCTGACATCTAGTTTAAAATAAACTAACAACAATTACCTTAAAAATATCCAGGTACTGACATCTGGTGAGTAAAAGAAGAAATAAAATGCTTTCCGGGCAAAAGAATTGAATAAGTTTTAGTCTTATTGGCGCGCTACTACTGAATACTCCAGCCGGGAAATATCACGGGAGCGAGAAATAAAGGTCGAAACCTCACCCCGTCATTTTCACGGGAGCGAGAAGGAAGGTAGCAACTAACTAGAAAACAGAAGTATTAAAAAATTGCTATCGCCAATGCCAATTCTAAGAGATTAGTTGTAACGTTATTTCATAAGAATCATGACTTATTAAACATTTTTTTAAAATTTATCTGTTACAAAATAACTGTTAGTTAATATAACAGCAATTTATTTTAGTGGACTTTAATAAAATTGAAATTACTCACTGTGGGTATGGAAGAAGCATCTACTGGATTGTTCGAAATATTTCTGTCTTCTGAACTGCCTGGTTTCTGCTCTGGGAAGGGCGACAAGTGTTGGTATCTTTGGGGTGATGATATTTTCGGCCTGCCTTCGTCGCTGGTCATTTGATAATTAAGCCTTCTGGTCCGGGTCCTTTCAGAGAGTGCTCTTTGAAGCATGGATGTCTTCTTTTTCTTCTTCTCTCTGAAAGGTTCGGGATATTCTGTCGCGATGGGAGTTTCATCTTCCTCTGTGCAAATGGATAGATTATGCCAATAACCCTAAAAAAATACGCCAAACTGTTAAAATTTTATCCACTGGTTTTTGTTTGCATCGAGATTCTTCCCAAAATCAAGGTTTTTCTAGGAATATCATGGAATTTCATTTCATTAGAACATTTATTTTTATTTCATTTATTTTATATTTACATCATTTATTTTAATTTATTTTCATTTCATTAGCTGAAATTGGAAATATTTAGTCTGCATTTAAGAATACTTATTTATATTTTAATTTTTAAGGCATAAATATCATGCGAGATTATTAAATGGGATTATTAAATAATTTAAAACCTGCGAAATTGTTTTCTTTCCCTTTCGGATGAAATATTTAATTATTTCTTGCTCAATATGTGTTTTTTTTAATAATCTATAAAACCCAAATTAAATGCTTTTGAAACTTAAAATGCCATACATTTTGTTTAAAAAATTAATAGGAAGGTTATAACTTTGTAGCAGAGCATTTAATAATTTTTTCACACTTTAATTTTTCTCATTTTACTCATAAATTTAGAAGTGAATTAATTAGTACAATCTAACTGCTTTCTTTTTAAAAAATAATTCAAAGCTTTCTTTAATTGACATAAAATGCTAGACAAAGTCGTGATTTTATAATGTTGCAGGACAACGTATGGGTACATATAAAAACAATTTAATTTTCGTTATGGGTAGGGAAATTCCTATTAACAAAATACTTACTTTTATTTTCGTTAAGCTAACTTAAGTATAAGTAACTTAAGTACAAGTAAAAATTGTATAGTTTTCCTTGTACTTTAATTTTGAAATTTAGCAATTTAGCAACCCGTTTATTCTATTATGGCTAGCATAGAGCGTAAACAATAAAAGTACAGTTAAAAAATAACTACTATTAAATACACCTTGTTGCATTTAAACGTCCCACGGTGGACTGATTGTAAGGACACGTTTCCTAGTAAAACACCGATGACAAGCATCGCTGACAGCGGTCAGTAAGTGGGTGAGTGACCATTTTGTTCAGCCTGCGTAGACACCATAGTAAGCGGTATTGGTCCTCGTTAAACTATTTTACCATAAAGTACTCGACTTAACACTCAGGTCGTCGGACTACCAAAGCGGAGAAACCATCCCCTCTGCAGAGGATCAAAATTGTGATGGCTTGTCCTTAGACCATTCTCAGAGATGATTCTCTGCATTATTATGCATCTCTAGTGTGGGTAAATTAAGTACTACTGCTACTACTTACGTTAAATGTTTCTAAATTAACTTGTATTTTTCTTTTTCAGCACATTCAAGGTCTTAAATAATTTTTTTTTAAAGTCGTGGTTCTGTCAAAAGAAGCTTGATCGTTTAGAATTCCGTCGATGAAAAAAATTAAGAACCGCTACTCTACAGAGTAAGGGAAGAAGCTACGTACGGGAGTGTACATTATGCTACATGAGAGTCAGAAATCTTAAATATTTTTTTAAAGTCGTGGTTCTGTCAAAAGAAGCTTGATCGTTTAGAGTTCCGTCGATGGAAAAAATTAGGAGCAGCTATTATATCGAGTAAGGGAAGAATCAACGTACGGGAGTGTGCATTATGCTACATGGGAGTCAGAAATCTTAAATATTTTTTTTTAAAGTTGTGGTTCTGTCAAAAGAAGCTTAATCGTTTAGAGTTCCGTCGATGAAAAAAATTAGGAACCGCTACTCTACGAGTAAGGGAAGAATCTACGTACGGGAGTGTGCATTATGCTACATGGCAGTCAGAAATCTTAAATATTTTTCTTAAAGTCGTGGTTCTGTCAAAAGAAGCTTGATCGTTTAGAGTTCCTTCGATGAAAAAAATCAGGAATCGCTACTCTACCGAGTAAGGGAAGAATCTACGTACGGGAGTGTGCATTATGCTACATGGGAGTCAGAAATTTTAAATATTTTCTTTTAAAGTCGTGGTTCTGTCGAAAGAAGCTTGATCGTTTAGAGTTCCGTCGATGGAAAAAATTAGGAGCAGCTACTATACCGAGTAAGGGAAGAATCAACGTACGGGAGTGTGCATGATGCTACATGGGAGTCAGAAATCTTAATTATTTTTTTTTAAAGTCGTGGTTCTGTCAAAAGAAGCTTGATCGTTTAGAGTTCCGTCGATGAAAAAAATTAGGAACCGCTACTCTACCGAGTAAAGGAAGAATCTACGTACGGGAGTGTGCATTATGCTACATGGGAGTCAGAAATCTTTATATGAGTTAGGAGATAGATGTCGAGTATACGTTAATAAATTATACCGTAATATTTTCCGACAATTACTTCGTTAATTGTATTTGCAATTTTTACTCACAAAGTGCACGTACTTTTATTTGGTACTTATTTCAAGAACTGTATTATTTATTTAAAAATCGTTACACCAGTTTGATAATATTATTTGTTGATATTTATAGTTGGTAGTTTTTAGAAAAAATTTCTCATACATGAATCTAGTTATAATGTACGCACAAGAATATATATGTTTTATAAATATGTTTTAAGAAGGATTTGCAAGATGTTTATTAAGTTTACGAGACACTTTTGTATAAAGGGCTCATTGGGTTCCAAAAATATTTCAAACTGGGAGCAATAGTAAAATAAATAGAACTATTTTGACATATCTGTAAATCATCACAATAGCTTTATAACTGTTAGGAAATCTCGAAGCACAATTTTTAAAAGTTCTATATTGTTAGTAATTTCTAGAAAATGCGCAGCACATATATTACGATAGTGACAAGAGCTCCGAAACTTGAAATATATTATTGTTTTAAGCAGAGAATTGTAGTAAATAATAAAAACTTAACTTTATATTTATAACCGTCATTGAACAACCGACTCCGTAATGTTCAACTGCGTAGCCTTGTAATTTTGAAACCAACCCAGAAGATAAAGAAACTTCTGGATCAAGTATTAGGAGAAATTTGCCTTCATGGAGAACTTTTTGATGAAACTAACCAGCGCTGCATAGAGAGGTAGACCGATTGAAGCTCCCACGGTTAGCCTGACAGCAAGGTGACTCTAACCCAGGATCCGTCTGCCACTGAGGATATTTCATGCCAGAACTGTGGTCGGTGCATATCGGATGAAGAATTCGCATAGACCAGCTATTGCTGGGATATAAACCCGGTTCACCTCATTGGAAGGCGAACGCTCTATCCCCTGAGCCATCATGTCTCTCAATTATATATAGATACATGTAAAACAAAATTTTTAAAATTTTTTTGTAAAGTTCTGAATATATTTTCAATATAGAATGTAAGTAAACATTTTTAACGCCTAACAATTTTTGGTTGTTTCAAAACTTTACTCCTTTACTTTCAAATCAACCTAACTCTAAAAAACAAGAAGACATTACCTCCATAAAACTAGCAAAGAATCTTAAAGCGAACAACTAGGCAAAGGAATCAATCTGCCCACCTTTAAGAATTAAGGGATTCTTTTTGCCGTTAGCCGCTCTCTACATCTAGAATAGATTGGTGTATAATGGTCGTTAAGGAACGTACAGCTCTCCCACATCATTGGTCCAAAGAGACTAGAAACCGAAAGTGTTTGTTGGATAAATATGTGCAGTTGAAGTAATGATCCGCACGTTATTGGTGGCAATAACATACGTTTTTGTAGCCCAGCTGCCGTTTATTAAAGGAAAATGGCCTGTTAAAAGATTCGATGCTTTATTCTGTCAAACTGAATTCGGGATTCTAAGCATTTACTAAAGATAGAAGAGGTAATAAAGGGTTGCATGTAATGTCTTTTATATTGTTCTTTGAAGTTTTCCTTTCTTAATGGTAGAGTTTAAATTAACTACCCTATTACCAGTGTTAACCAAAAAATATTTGGCATCGTAATTTCACTGCTCTATAAAATTTCAAAGAGAAAAACAGACTAAAACTTATTACAAACACACATTTATTTTCGTATAAATTTTAAAAAATTAAAGTAAAAAATGTTACTGCTTCAGGCATTCTCATTGGAGAGAAATCCACATGATATGATTACTAATTTGATTTTCATAATTATGTAAACTTTTCAATGCCAATTGAAATTTACGTTGTACAGTCAGCAAAAAAAAAAAAAAAAAAAAAAAAAAAAAAAAAAAAAAAAAAAAAAAAAAAAAAAAAANAAAAAAAAAAAAAGGACCACATTGAATAACTTTTGATTTCATGATATCGGATATTCACGTTCTAGAAGTCAAAGGTTTGAGCTCAAATATGCTCACTAATTAGTGCAGACGATAACTTAAATCACGAAATTAGGCACAAAAACGTATTTTCTCTGAATACACATACCGTTTTTTTGACGGATTTGGATTTCAGACCTCAAAATATAAGGGATAGCCGCAATCTGGGAAATATGGTTCTCATAGTTTGATCAGGAGAGCGATTCAAGGTTTGGGCCACTTAATGCTAATTTTATATTTTTTGGGTATTTTGACATGCATCGAGAACTTTTCAAGCAAATTGAAAACTTTTTGCACGCAATTATAAAATTCGCTTATCCAAAAATATTTCAATTCAAAAAATAACGTTTAGCAAATATTTATCATTTTCTTTACTAATAGTTGAAAAAAATATTCTGATTTGTAAGGTATGCAATTTTTACATCATTTTAAAGAATATGATTTTACAAGACAAAATACAAAGTTTGAGCAATATTGGTAGAATCTTTTCTGAGCAATCGGATATTAAATAAGCGACTTTCTTAAAATTTCAATTTCGCAGGAACTATTCGGCCGATTTCGCTCAAACTTTATATTTTGCCATGTACAATTATATTCCTAAAAATGATGTAAAACATTATATACATTAAAACAATTCAAAATTCTTTCGATTTAGAAATCTGAATCCATCATAAAAAAGTATGCTCAATCAGAGGAAGTTCGTTTTCGTGTTTTATGTCGCAACTTAAAATATCGGCTGCTCTAGTTTATTTGAGGTTGCACACTGTACATTTGAATTGGCGTTGTAAACCATTTTACATTGTACACAGAAACATTATCATATCTGGACTGAATATCATTTGCAAAATTGCGAACATTATACTCGCACGAATATTATGCCAGACGGTGTATTATTATGCCGGCAAGACTGCTTCAAGCGAATTTAAGGCAGAGGGTGCGTTTCTTGTTTTTAAATGGCGCCATATATGGCCAAGAATACGATTTCAGTCACGCACGTCACAACCCGTTTTACATAGTGGACCCATTCATACATTCACAGACACTCAGATATGATCTGAGACAGAGAACGATCAATTAAAAATTCAGTACGAGGGTTGCTATTTATATTTCTGGCCTTGGCAGCAGTAAGTGTTGCTAGGCCCATTATTGTAAACACGCATTTCGAGCGGTGTTCATTTTGGTAAACACGTATTTCGAGGGTCCATATTCAGAAAACTTGCATTTCTAGCTATGTTCATTTTCGTAAACGTGCATTTTCAGTTGTGTCCATTTTCGTAAGCACGCGTTTCGAGCGGTGTCCATTTTCGTAAACACGTACTTCAAGCAGTGTCCGTTATCAGAAAACATGCATTTCTTGCTGCGTTAATTTTCATAAGCGCGCATTGTGAGCTTGCGTTCAGTTTCTAAAACACACATTTTGATTAATCTGCTTTCATTTTTATAAACACGCATCTTGAGCTGCGATCCAGATTTTAAAAAACTCAACGACTGTAAAAAAAAAAGTATTAGAGTGCGACAAAAGTAGCATTTTGAATAAGAAAAGCGTAATTTTGAATATTAATTGATGCAATTAGGTTTGTCCTCTAAAATTCGGTAAAATGGACACACTTTAATATTAGTGAAAGAGGACGACATTACGAACATTTATTTTAAGAGTAACAGCTCTCATTTCATCTGAACTCTATGATACTTAACTTTCATTCAAATTCTAAAACTGTTGCTTTTACGAAACGTTGAATTTTGATATGCGCATTTTTTAACTCCCAGAAATACTTATACTCTGTTGAGTTAGGAAAAGACCATTGAGGTATAGGATTTAAGTACCATCAGCGACTGAATGTAGTTCCGTTTTATTTAGTAATCAAATTATATAAATATGCTTTCAAAACAATTTAAAAAAATTTTAAAGTTAAACACGTCAGACAAAAATTTAATTCGTGCTATCTTCTACGATATATAACGTAGAATTATTAAAAAAAGGTTATAGTTTCGAAGTCTACTCTAATACTAGACTTTTTGACTTATTTCGATAAATAAGGAGAACCTTCTTTCTTGAGAAAAAAACAACTGTACGACGTTGCAAGAGCATAAGGAAGACTGTGCAACGTTTTTATCTGATTTGGCGATGTTGGTATACGTTCGCGCTGGTTGCTTGGCATCCATTTGGCGTATACTTAGATGTAAACAGGCTCTCTCCCTAGAGATAATGGCTTTTTCTTAACTTGCAACAGAGTATAGTTATCTATTAGAAAGAAAATAACTTACTTCTTTAAATTTTTCTGATAGATACGAACTTGACTGCTCCTCTCGATAGGTAGTTTGAGGTAGGGAGGGTGTCGTTAATGATGAAAGGGTTGGAAATTGCACAGATGGAGGTGTGGTCGTCGAACTTTGCTTTTCTTTCTGTTCAGCATTTTTTGCCAGCATGAAAAAACTATCTCGTCTTGTAAACCTGAAAAAAAAGTAGTAATTAAAATAAGAAAAGGATCGATTAAATATTTTAATAAAAGTTTCTTTTTTTCATTTTTTAAGAATTCATAGTATGTAAAATAATGTTTATAATATAAAAAGCTTCAAAATTAAAAAAACTAAAACAACTTTAAAGTTTCAAAAATCTTAAATGAATTAACGAAAAAAAATTTGTTTAATCAGTAAGTAATATACCAACTGCATTGACAAACAAAAATAAAAAATGTATTTGTTTGCTAAACAAACAGCATCGAAAATAATTATAAAAAAAAATATTTAAAAATAGTTGTAAAAAAGGTATTTTGAACAAGAAACTATTGGTTTATGTACTAATGCTTTTTTAGGCCAGTCTATGAATAAATTAAAAATATTAAGAAATATATTGTGATTGCAAAACTAGCTGTAAAAATATATTATTCATAAATTTTCCTCATAAATCATTTGTTGAATGACTCATTTGCGTTGAGAGAGTTAAAAAAAGTAGGATGTTGTTTTGTGAAGTGTAGAAATAATCTCTTTATATTAAAAAATCCTATTACAGAGTTGAAATTTGACATGCTGAAAAGGCCATGTTGTTTACATCCATGGCCATGAAAGGATCATGTTGTTATCTAATTTGTTCTTAATTTATTGAAAGCTTTAGTTTTTTTTTTTGCAAATTTCTCTTGTCACTTTTTTTTGTTGCCTTATGTTAAAAATCGGAAAAATCTATAAGACTTAGAAATTTAAAATTATGGTGTGTAGAAAAATGTACAAGAAATATGATTTTATCTATATATATATATATATATGTATGTATATATATATATATATATATGTATCGAAAAAAATAAGGTTTGATTTTTATCAATTGTTAAGCTTGAAGTAAAAAAAACCCATGTTAACCAATCTATTTTCATCCGCATATAACTGCAGAGTTGAAATTGGACGTTACGAATAGAATATTTTCAATTACGCACTTAACGTAAGTTTTTTTCCTTCTCGAAATTCCAGCTTTTTTTTAAGGTTATTGCAATTTTAAGTACTTTTTCGTTATTTTTTCATTTTTTTATTTAACGTTATTAGTATTAATGATTATTATTATTAACATATTATTATTAATGATTATTTATCCAATGCTGTCGAGAAACTTATCTAGTTTATAAAAAAATATTGAATATATACGCTCTCTATTTGTGAGAATAATAAATAATTATCTTTAAGTACGCAATAGTTCTTTTGTTTTTAAATTACAACAAAAATTTGTGCTATCATAAATGCAAACATTTAGTTTGCATAAAACCTCATAGCTGAAAAACACTATCCTCAATTGCAGTTAAATAGAAATCTAGAGTCATTTTTCCATTGAGAAAAGATGGAAAATGCCATTCCTTCAAACGGAAATATATTGCTTAATTTACCAAATGTTGCCACTGATAAGACACTTAAGATAAATTAGTCATAATATATGGATACAAAATTATATAAAGGATGCATTAAGCATGAAAGATTTATTTTTTTAATTCAAAAACTTGCTAATTTCTACCAAAAAGTTTTCTTCTTTCCAATAACCGTTTTTTCAGTTTAAATCAAAATTTCACGAAATTGGAAAACTAATCTCAACGCTTCATTCTAATTAGAAAAAAAAATTGTTTTTTTTTTTAATGAAATCTCTGTTATGCATTGATACTCAAAAATGTCAGCGAAACAAAAAACTTTATTGAGTTTATTGTAAAGTTGCAATCAGAACAAATGAAAACCAAGGGGGAAAATGGTTTTAAGTCCATGAAAGCTGACCTGAGAATAAAAAAACGAATTTGCACGCGAACAAGAAGTGTTTTTCTACAGCCACTATGTAATAAAAAATCTATTGAAGGAGAGGTGATTTACCTATTAGTATACCAAAACTTAGTAGTCTTCAAAACGCAATGGAAAACGACACAATAATAATTTTTGTGAAAAAAATTAACGTAAACTATTTTCCCTCCCTTGACCTTCAATTGTGTTTACAGGGCTCTACAAGTGTATGAATTTTAAGAAAAACCGGACTTCGGACTACATCTACGAGTAGACCAAAGAACTTCTGAGGTACTTGGTGCTTTTATTTACGTCACACTAGAGTTGCACAATGGGCTGTTGGCGACGGGCTGGAGAACATTTTTGAGGATGATCCGGAGACAATGTATATATATTGGGAGTACAAATTAGTTCGGTCCGTTTTCAAAAGATGGCTCTGGCTGTTATGAATGTTTCATAGTGGCTGCTGGTTTCGGTGGTTTCAGAGAGGTTAGACATCCGTAAATAATATTCAGTTTATATAGCTTTGAGTTTCAAACAAAAACCCTGTTTTTTACTTCGTTGAATATGTCAAATTTTGTGCTAACTAATAAGCATTTGTGGGAGGTTTTATGTTTCTGCTTTAATTGCAAGAAAAGTGCAGTTGAAGAGCATCGAATGCTTTTAGAAGTTTATGGTGACAATGCTGCGACTGATAAATCATGTAGGGAACGGTTTCGATGTTTCAAGAATGTATGGGCTATAATGTATAGGCTAGAATCGGTATAGGCTACAATTGATCCGCTTGAGCCGTGCATTACGAGAAAAAGGGCCGGAATACGAGCAAAGATACGACAAAGTTATTCTTCTGCTGCATGATAACGATTTGCCTCATGTCGCAAAAGTCGTAAAAAAACATTTGCAAACGCTTAAGTGGGATATTTTACCACATCCGCGGTATTTACCGGACATTGCTCCTTCTGATTACTGGTTGTTCCGATGGATGCAGCATGATTTGGTAGGTCAACGGTTCACTTCTTTCGCAGATATTGAAAATTGACGCCTAACTTGGATCGCCTCAAAAGACGGGACATTTTTTCGAGATGTAATTCGAAAATTGCCTGAGAAGTGGGAAAAGTAGTAGCCAGCGATGGACAATACTTTGATTAATCTGTTCATTCATTTTTATCTGAAATAAATGCATTTTCGACCACAAGAATAACGGACAGAACAAATTTGGACTTCTAATACGTCACACCCTGTTTTACAGGGAGGACACATTCACACATCATCCACCCACATATCGCAATTTTGACCTGGACAGCAAGATCAATCTCTGATCTAGTACCCAGAGGTATTGATTTGTTATGGTAACTTGGGAAATTTTGTAACTGTGGCAGATTTAGTGTGCATCTGTAACCATTTTGTTCACGGGCTGGGTCTTCGACTGGCTGGGATCAAACTCGCGACCTTTCGGACATAGGCCTAATTCCCTACCATCTAGGCTGTGACAGGCTGAGGAATAGCAAAGAATTGGTCTTCGCAGAGCCATACCTGCCAACTTTTACGCATTTGGCGTAAAATTTTATTTTTACATTTAAAGTGGTAGTAAATATATACTATTTTTTCTTTTATAAACTTGATTTTTAAATCATTTTGATCACCACTATTTTTAAAATACTTACGCATATATATATAAGTATGCGTTTCTTTCAACTATTTCAGCTCAAGTTTTTTCAATTACAACGTATTTCGTTGCTTAAAATTGAAATTTTAATTCCGTTTTAATACAACTGGGAAAAATCATAATTGAAGGAATTAAAAGTTGGCAGGTATGGCAGAGCTCTCAAAATTAGAAAAATTCTAAACAAAATTCTAGGGTATCTCTCTCATAACTAAGACATAAGACTCAAGTGTATCTCTTTCATAACTAGCATATAAAACTCTTGTGTATCTCTTGTATACGGACGTCTGCTGGAATATTTAATGCATATTTCTTTTGCAACAGGTTTTAAATTTTTTAAATGCAAACTCACTTTTGAGGCAATGCAAAAGCATATTTTAGTTGACGTCTTTATGAATGAGAAAGATTGTTCGTAAGATTTTAGACCTTTAAACGAAAAGTATTATATACTAAGGTCTATGAACTGTTGCATCTTAATTATAATAAACTCTCAACTCAAACAAACTTGACTCTATTATTTAAACTCAAAGACGTTCTTTAAAAGTATGCTAGTTAGTAGTAGTTTGAAAGTTAAGAAAATTATACAGAAAATGTACATAAAGGCACATTCGTGGTTTAAAAATATTTTCGGTTGTTTAAAAAGAAATGGAATTTCAAATTTACTTTAGGGCGAATTTTTATTTGTTGAGCCACAATGTTTTAAATTCTATTTAATATATACTAAGTAAATTGACGCTGCCTATTGCTTTAAAAGTGAAAAAATACCCACGAAAATGGGACATACAAATTTTTTTCTTTTAAGGTGTCATTTTTGATCTACGTTACAACTTGACCAGCGTGTAGTACTTTACATTAAAATTAGGTAAGTACAACCCGAAAGCAAGAACAATATGTTGGGTTGCCGGTTAAGTTTCATCCGTTTTTTTTTAAAACTTTATTTTTAAATTTTAATATTGCGCAAGCATTATGGTTCAGATCATTCACAGAGGAGGTTTTATTCTACCCGAATCTCTGTTTTTTTAAAGTTTATCTATGTTAATTTTCATATCATTAAAATAGAATGTCAGTTTGAGAAATATAGCCATTTTCGACACATTCTTATTTTAGCTTATAATCTAGGTTTTAAGTTCATAATAACCACTTGTGATTGCTTTGCTAAGTTTAAGAAGGAAAATTTTAACTTCATAGATGCACTTCGTTTTGGTCATACATCATTTCATACATAATTTTGAGTAATCGGAAATCAATTAGATAATATTTTGCACGAAAATTTGAGTCAAACATCAAGGAAAATGGCAGAAAAAATAGAATATTCCCAAAGTTTGAGTTTTTAAAAAAGTTAAAAAAAAAACCCCTACGGAAACTTAGTAACAACTCAGCATATAAAAAGTGGGAACTGCAGAACACCCTATTATTAAAAAGGCAACTCTTCACATTGCAGTGAGTTACAGCAACTTATTTATCACTAAAATTAATACTAATAATACATTTAGGGGATTTCGCCTTCCAATGAGGTGAACCGGGGTTCGATCCCGGCGATGGCTGGTCGATACGAATTCCGCATCCGGCTTGCACCGACCACAGTGCTGAAGTGAAATTTTTTCAGTGGTAGACGGATCATGGAGGCTAACCATGGGCGGTCTTCGTTTTCTTCCTTTCCATGTAACGCAAATGCGGGTTAGTTCCATCAAAAAGTCCACTACGAAGGCAAATTTCTCCCAATACTTGATCCAGGAGTTTCCTTGTCTTCTGGATTGGGTTTAAAATTACAAAGCTACGAAGTTTAGCATTAGTTGTCATAAAGAAAATAAAGGATAATGAACATCACGCACTGGGTATTTCCCTTGACATCAAAAGTGCCTTTGATAGCGTCCTATGGAACAAAATTATAGAAGAATTGAATTCCTGTCACTGCTCCTATGACTTAGTTAAGTTGATTTCAGGTTTTTTGGACAACAGAAGGATCCTGTTTGATATCCAGAATGAGAAGTTGGAGAGACCTCTAGTAAGAGGAGTCCCACAGGGTTCAAGTCTGGGACCGATCTTATGGCTACTTATAGCGAACACTCTTTTAAATATGAAAAGGGAATCTAATGAGCAAATAATCGCATACGCAGATGACTTCCTTTTACTTCTCACCGGAACATTTCTTGATAGACTTGAACCCCAAGCCACTATGATTTTGACGAAATTTGAAAATTGGCCTACGTCTCACAATCTTCAATTCAGTACCAAGAAAACTGTCACGATTGTATTTCCCAAAGCCAATCGGGTCTCAAGACGACCAACTATAAAACTCTGTGGGGCTAACATTGCAACGAGGGAAACCATAGATTATTTGGGATTTAGATTGCATTATCAGCTTTCCTGGTTGCCTCACCTTGACTTTATCTATAGCAAAGTTACTAAATTTCAAGCTAAACTAAATAGAATCTCTGGGGTCGACTGGGGGATTGGCCCTGATGTTCGGAAATTCATCTACCTAAACAGCACTCAGAAACTTATCTTATATGGAGCAGAAATTTGGTTTTCCCAACAGGTAAGAATCATTAATAGATTGAAAAAAATGGAAAGAACTTCTTTACTGTCTATCACTAAGGCATACAAGACTGCATCTACTGACTCTCTCCAAGTACTTGCTGGAACAATTCCTCTAGATATGGCAGTAAACATAGAAGCTCAACTTAATAATATTTTTCAACATGAAGAAGAACATATAATCTATAAACCAATACCTACACCTTATATTTATCATCCGGCTGAAGAAATTTTACTTAAATATCAACTGCATTTACCTACTTATAAAGGACTAGAATTATTTACAGATGGATCAAAAATATTAGTTAACAATGAGTTTAAGACAGGATGCGCTTTCGTGGCCTATCTGGAGGGAGAACCTGTTGAAAGAAAAACCTTTCGCATCTCTGATCACGTTTCCGTGTTTAAGGCTGAATTATGGGCCATTCTCCAGTCGATTCGTTGGCTTAAAGAACAAAGAATTACAGACAATATCTCAATTTATACGGATTCCCTGTCTAGCCTGCAAGCTTTGGAAAGCAGCAACTCTAAAGAGTATTTAGTCCACTTAATAAAACAAGAATTCACAAACAATATCGCTTTACATTGGATAAAAGCACATGCAGGCCATAAGGGCAACGAAGAAGCTGATAGGTTAGCCAAATTAGCCTGTGAGAGATCAACGGTCGACCTGTTTGAAGATCCTAGCAGGCGGACTGCAAGAAAAACTTTGGAACGCGAAAAATTGATTGAATGGCAGGAGAGATGGAGTGACAGCTTCACAAAGGGAAGGCACACATTCGAGCTCCTCCCGAAAGTTCAAACGAGGAAAATCATGGGGAATTTCTTTTTAAATCAATTCCTAACTAATCACGGCTGTCATGGACAACATCAAGCCAGGTTTTTTGGGGGAGCTGAGCTGTGCAGTACCTGTCAACTTGTTGAGGATTGGGAACACATTTTAATCCAGTGTACAAATTTTAAGCACATTAGGAAATTTTTTCATTCAAAAACCACCTACGAGTTTATAAAGCAGCATTGGTCAAACCTTAAAATAAAAAAGGGAATTGAGGAAATAATAAGAAAATTGTTTAGTAACAAGGCACCTCCCTGAATCCTGATGGCCTTTTGCTGCCTCTTGTTAGGAAAAATACACCTAAATCACGGCTTATTAATTTACCTGTTATGGTTTGATTATTACTTGAATTTTCTCTTAAAATGTTTTTTGGTGCTGCTTTAATTTCATGCTTTGTCAATCTCTGCCCCTATGTGATTCCTCATTTTGAAAATTTTAATCACTTGTGTTCCTAGAGTTTTTATATATGGTATATATATGTCCTTTCTGTTTAAAAAATAAATAAATAATAATTACTGGAATTTGATAAATTTAGTACTGTTGTGCCAGCCGTAATTATATTCTGAGTTACAAATATCCTGTATTTTCCATGTGAAATTGCTTCCTTTTATTAACTTTGCACCCCTACTGAAGATGCGGCATCAATATCTCTTCTGATTGTTACTGTTTATTTTCTCTGTAATGTTTGTTTGCTTAGTTTATTTCTAAGTAGCACTGTTTTCTGGATTTCATATTTAATATTCCACCTATTTGTTAAAACTCTAATTTGAAAATTTTGAATATGTTTGCTTATGTAATTGAACTGTTACGCTCACTTTGAACTTTCGGAGTGCCCCCGGATGCCCCCTTACGGGGGCGGGACGGGCTTAAGCTTGTTATTAGTTGTCATAAACCCGAAGATTGGGTCGGCTGTTCAACGACGGTTATAAAATGAAATAAAATAAGTTACTGAGTAACATGAAAAAAATAATTATGCGCAAAATATTTATTTCATCTACATCGTATTAAGCAACAAGTTTAGAAATAAGTAGTAATTGAGCCGCACTACAACGATCGGAACACTAATTATTTCTTTATTCTCCAAATGTTAACATTCATCTTCTAACATTCAGAGAAAGATTGCTTGTTTGCCCTTTATGTTGAAGGGCCTCTCGCGATATTTATTCCTTCAAATAATGAGTTATCCTAAAACTTTTGGAGTATCTGAGATGTGTCCTCTAGTTGAACGTCGCAGAAACTCAAACTGCTCTCAGTTCAATTCGAGTAGTGGCAGAGACAAACTCTCTTCGGAAGTTAATTAGGTTGCCTCTCAACGGACCTCTTGTATCTTAGATAGTTGCACTCCGTTATTATTGCAGTTTTGGAACATCTTGGCATCTGTAAATTTCGCCAACACCTGTCAGATCTTCCGGGATTTCTTCTGTCTTTAGGAGATTACATTTAAATGAAACCAATTGAGTTATAGTTTCATTGTGGATAAATAGTTATACTCGATGGGGAGTTTTTGTTAGAATATTTTAGAAAGTTGCAAGTCGATTAGTTTAACTTTCTTTCCTATTGCTATGTAAAGATCATAATCGAATTGATTGAAGGAAAGAAACTTTTGAACTTTAACAATACGGAAACCCTTAACGCGCACATTATCTCGGTAAAATGCGGAAAACTCTTGATTCTGCCCCTTAATGGACTTTCTAAACTAATCTGCGTATTAATGGCTCTTAACATAAGCAGTAACACATCAATGTTTATATATGAAAATACGTTTGCAAAGTGTTTTGCAATATCATCATTAATATATAATTTGCGAATATTTTTAAAGAAAGCATTAGCATTATGGATTTCAAATTAAATCTTATATACATTAGGATATATAAGCGAAGCAATAGCATTATGTACATCAGGAATGATAATAGTTTCAATCAGAAATATAAACGAAGAGAAGTATTTTGGGTGTCCTGAAAGTGTTTTTTCATGAATATTTCGCATTTAATCTTTGATTGTGCTGTTACATTAAATTGAACTTACTTTTTGAAATATAAAAGTAATATGCTCTTACATGTACTACACTAGTGGCAAAACCAGCCTTTTCGCATTGGTTGCTACTTTCTGTTTAGGAAACTAGTTTAAATGTGCTTAAAAAGTAAGTTAAAAATTGGCTTAAAATTCGTCTATAAATTGAGTAACCCTATATCATAAACTATTAAACAATTATTTCTATACAAAATAACTCTAACTCACTGCAGTCCGTGCAAATGCTTAACTATTCTGATGGGTCTGGCATGCAACAGGGAACATTGTTTAATTTTTTTAAAATTTCCAAGTGTTATCTGTTGATCTTAGTTACCAATTTTGAATCTTAACATTTATAAATTGCTTATTTTCTAAGCAAACTAAAGCAAATCATTTATTTTCACTTCCTGTTGTTTTTACCAAATTGATTTTTTTAAAAATCAATTTGGAAGTTTGTAATTAACTCTGAAACTTACTAGAAACTACCAGATGTGAGTTTTTATTAGAAGTGGACTTACTAGAAACTTTTATATGTGAACTTACCTATAACCTTCAGCAGTGGGTGACAAATCACACTGAACAGCAGCATCTCTTTGCCATGGAAACCTCGGATCACCTTCCTGACTATTGACATCCAAGGCGCTGCAGTAGGTCTCTTCTGGAAGAACAGCAAATGGATTGTAAAATTCACTCAAGACACTTGGGACATTAGGAACAGGGACATTTGAAACAGTGACATTTGAAGCAGGAACATTTGAAGAAGGGATATTGGGAACAAGGACATTAGCTTGTCTTCTTTGGTGTTGGAGATTTTGCGGTTGCGAGTATGGATTGTAAATCTTCTGTGGATCGGTTTGCGGGTCGTATGGCTTGACGTCGGTGGGTATAGGCGTGACACCAATGGCTGGTAATGATGGTCTAACACTACGACATTTGTCCTTGCTTGGCGACGTGTTGGCCGTCACAGGCGGATCTTTGAAGTTCTCAGAATAGCTTCGTTTAGAGCCGAATCTTTCTCTGAGAGATTTGGTTCTCATGGCGATTGGGTTTGGCGGATGATTTGATTTCGGCGAGCTCATGGTCGGTGCTGTTTCTGGTGAGTCACTGTAGAAAAAGAATATGAATTAGATAAAAATTATTATTTTTTAAAAAATTTATTTTGCTCTTTAAAAAATAACGAAACATTCGCGAGTTAATGAAAGTGATTAATATGAAATAAATCGGAATTCAATTTCCAATTGGGGAAGTTTATATGACAAGTAAAAAAACTTGACTTCTTCTAGGATTTTTGTCGTCTTTTTATTTACTTGCTTTGCGAAACAGTTTTTTTAAAACGTCAATTTTGAACAATAACTCTATGTGTGTCCTTTAGATGAAAATATGTGTTTCTTATACATTTTTGACAGAAAGTAATGAATATGCAATTTGTTTATCCCCCATTTTCCACCAAAATCCACATATTAATCTTAGGACATTAAGTATTTTAACAGCACCCGATAACTGCCTTGAGGCAAAAGACGGTGCTTTGATTGATTGTTAGATCATTGCCAACATGGGTCCCGTAGTGGATTGATCGTTAAGACACGGTTCCCGCCAGATCTCCGAAGTCAAGCATCACTGGCTGCGGTCAGTGTGCGGGTGGGTGACCACTTGGATCAGTCTGCGTAGGGAGCGAGGGTGTGCGGTATTGGTCCTCGCTAAACTGTTCTACCGTAAAGTGCACGACTTCGCGTGCAGGTCGTCGGGCTACCAAATCAGGGGAGCCATCCCCTCTGCAGAGGATCAAAATTGTGATGGTATGTCTTCGGATCATCCTCAGTGATGTTTCCTAGACCGTCGCCAATAGCCCATTGTGCAGCTCTAGTGCGACGTAAATGAACTACAATAACTACAACAACAATTGCCAACATTGTGATCATTTCATTAATTTTGTCGAGGAGTTTTGGTGACAAAAGCCTAATCTAGCTTCCCGAAGTTTCGGAGCTCTTAATGCACTAGGGGTTGAGGTATTCAAGAATTCTATAGAAGCTTGACTTATTTTCCCCCACACAAATGGCCGGATTATTAAATTTTGTTATACGAATCAAACACTTTCTTTAAATTTTATTTTAATTTTTATTTTTGTATTTATTTTTTTTTAAATTTTTTTTTTTACACAGAATCACATAGCTTCATCTAAAGAAGCAAGACGAGTTCAAACTTGTAATTTTTTTAGCTGGTACTTTTTGACGTAATTTGATTCAAAATTTTTTTAGAATGCGGTGACAGTTATTTTCATAATTATTTTTTTTAAAAAAGTTATATAGTCTAATTTACTTTTAATTTCATATTGAAGTTAAAAGTTGAGGCAATTTAAACTATATATTCTATATTGTATATCATTTTAAAGTTCAATTAAGAACACCAAATATTTTTTCGAGTAAAAGTTAGATGAAATCTTAAAAAGAGCTAAACAGCAGTTTTTACTGGAATTAAAGATCAAACTTTTTGGTATGTAATTCATAAATTTTTCAATGTTTCAATCAATCCATTGTTTTATGAAAAATCTTTTTTGAAAAGCATCGTGAAACTAATATACTACTTCTACTTGACGGAGATAAATGAAGTGAAACATATAAAAACATTTTACATTATTTTAAGTAACAATGATTCTAGTCTAAATCTAGAAAATTGTTTTAATTATAGCATTTAGAAGAGAGTATATGGCAGCAAAACACTTAAATTCTAGTTTAAAATACAGTTTTTATATTTGTAATACTATAATAAAATTACAAAATGTATATTTTCTATTAAAACAACTAAAATAAAGCAGCTCAGTAAAAGATTAAGCGAAGGATAATATGATTTTCAATTTTGTCATGTTTTACTATTACATTATAAAATTGTCCCTCAGATCTTTCATATCAGCCGTATGGGTGTTGCTCATCAGTTTTGTACAGAGTCACATTTCTGGTAAAATTACCAAAATGACATTTCTGGTAAAAAAAACATAATTCTGGTTAATAAAAACCAAAACATGCGTTACTTAAACCATTCATTTGGTAACTTTTCCGTTCACGTGGTAAAGGTTTACAAGAAATCCTGGTTTTCAAAATTATAGCTCTCATTATCACACAAATACAAAACTGAAAAGTTAATACTGAGGAAATTCAAAATTGAAAAGTTAATTTAACTGAATAAATAGTTTTTATGCCATGCTCAAAGGTATCATGACAACATTACCAAATTTTGTCACCCTTTTCAAATCTTATTGTACATTATAAAAACATATTTTCCAAATTCATTAGCAAGGCGTTTGGAGGAAAATTACTGAGCTTTTTTGTGCTTCCATAGAGCCTGAAGCATGGTTTTATTTTATCATATTCTGGTAGTTTTGTCCATGCTTTTTTTTTCTCAGTGCGTATATCTCTCATATTATCCCATTGACGTTCCTCATTAGTAGGCGTCTCACAATAACCTAGTGAGTGTGTCATTAATGTCAGCCTCATTTTTACAAGGCCAAAAAAAGGTTTCCTTTGTCATGAATTTTACTTATAAAAGTTTAAATTTAACACTGATTATGGTATATTTTAACACAGTCTCAATTTATACATGATAATAAACGCGGCTGTGTGTGCGTCTGTTTGTCTGTCTGTCTGTAATCACAATATATCGCCCTAGAAGCCTCGCCCAGACACGAAACTCGGCACATAATTGTGTTTTGACATAATGAAAAAGTATTTTTTTTTTCTTTCTCAAAAATTTGGATTAGTTTTTTAGTTATCAGTCATTTGTAAGAAAATGTATACTTTTTCGTCTTCAAAGAGCCATATTCAAAAAACTATTAAAAAATGCATATACTTTTCTCCACCCTTCTAAATGTATGCTAATGCGAACCTTATAATTGAAATATTAGTTTTAGCCAACTTAAACCAATAATATACGAAGGAATTAATAATTTAATTGCAAGGTTCGCATTAGTTTACATTTATCAAAGTGGAGAAAAGTTTAACTTTTGCCTGCAGCAGAACTGGACATGAAGACAAAATTGCAGGACAGGAACACTTTAATTGTCCACTAATCTTCAGATTTCCTGCTTTGTCTTAAAAAACTTTATTTGTGAAAACCTTTAGCGTGGCGGACAGCTGGCCGCCAGGCGGCTAGTAGTTAATAATAACGAAAATTTAAATTCTTGTTGCATTTTTCTCCCGATTTGCAATAACTCTGTAATAATGCTTTTTTTAAAATTTTATTTTTTTAGAAACTAATACGAAAAAGTTGCATCGTTTAATAGATATATATTTAAGAATATTTTAAGTATTATTAATTACAAAAATAAAATACCTCATGTGTCGAGGACGTAATTAGTTAATTATTTTTTCGTGCAGAATTTCATGAAATATTTTTTAAGGCATAGTTTGCTATGGATCAATACAATGAAAGACATTTTCCAGGAAAGTCTAGTAGAAAATTTCAAGCAAAAAAAAGTTACTAGCAAAAAAGCTTTCTAAAACAAGTTAAAAATTGAAATAGTTAAAGCTTTGGAATACCGAAAAGCCTTTTATTTTATTACTTTTTTTTAGAGAAAAAGAGAAAATCTCATGAGTTTGTTTTTAGTTGACATTTGTTTCAAGGTATAAAAACGTCAACTGAAAATGCATTCTGGGCTCAAGCAAATAGTTTTAAATGTAGAAAGATATACTTTTTTCAGAAGATAAAGAGCATTTTTGACATTTTTACGAACTTTTCTTTAAAATATTTGGTTGGAAATGTTTCCAGTTTGAAGTAATTTAATATGGATGTTTTGATGTTGAATGAATGTTTGTAACATAAATACATATCAGTTGCTCAAAATATATAATAAATAAATTACTAACATATTTAATTAATGAACAAAAAGTTAAATAAAGGGAATTTTTGATATTTTATTTACATTTAATTTAAGTATACATATACATCAATAACAGAACTAAAAATAAATGGTTATATAGGGCGTATAAGTTAGTTATCATCTAGAATATATCACTTAATAAGTATCTTATAGTTATAATATACAACTACACTGGAGTTTAAATTAAGATACGTTTTACACTGTTAGAATTTTCATACTAAAATTATGGACAAATACTTGGCAGCAGTCTGTTCATCCGATGAACCGTAAAATTTACGGTAAAAAGCAATTTTTTTACCTTACCTTTGCGGTTTTGAAGCCGTAAACAACTAGTATGGTTATAAAATCATGAATGCAAATCTATACGGTTTTGAAACCATTTATAACTAGCATGGTTTCAAAGTCGTAAAAAACAAATTTAACTGGTCATTGGAGTTTAGCCTTTGGTTAGATAATGGGCTTTGGAAAATGCAGATACAAATTGGGAAGTCCAGAACGCAGAAACTTGTCATGCATTGCAGGAAGTAGAGGAAATGTGGTGGCAACATTGGTATTCGAACCCCCGTTCTGTCGGTCATGAGAATGACAAATCAGCCTTCTCGGCTATAATACATAGACAGTTGCTAGGAACAAAGTGGCTTCGTTATGCGGACTTAGTTGGTGGGGTAAAAGTCTGGTTGCTTATCGCTATTAGGTGAAAGCAGTTAATAACAGTTTTTTTTATCACCGTTAACTGTTTGAATATTATCTTATTTATGGTTATTTGCCTGTTTTGTTGGAATGTGGTAAAATAGCAATTAAATAAATTGTAATTAAACCATTTTTTCCAAGAAATTTCAAACAGTGTAGATTTCGTCGATAAGCTCCCGAATTACTGAATTACTTGACAAAATTGAAGAAAATTTGATATGAAAGTAGGTTGTTATAATTCAAGCATAATGGCCATTAAACAATTATAATATATACATATAATACATACATATAATATATACATATAATATATACATATAACATATACATATAATATATGCATATAATATATACATATAACAGGGCTCGAAAAAACTCAGAAATTTTTTTCCCGTCCCGAGGACTGCTTGTCCAACAATGTACCCGTCCTCCTTTGAAACTAACCCGTAGCTTCTAAATAAATAAAAATATAATTTTCTCCTATTTATTACAAACATTTATATAAATTGCACAATGAATTAGTAGTTACTAGGATTACAAATAC